AGAGGACTGCTGTGAGGATTAAAGGAGGTAAGAGACATAAAGTGTTTAGCACAGAGCCTGGAACATAGTAAGTACTCAGTAAATATTAGCTGTTAGTGCTTGTTGTTGTCTTTTTCCTCGGAGGCATTATGTCTGAACTCAGAAGATGAACCATATTCTCAGAGAATAATGCTATAGTTTATTGATGACCATGTGCCAGTCACTGTACATAAGTTAAACTCATTTAATCTTTAACAGTTTTATTATGAAATAATTAGATACTATAAAATGCACCCATTTCAAGGGACAATTCAGTGATTTTTATTAACAGAGTTGTACACAATCCAATTTTAGAACATTCCCATCATCCCAAAAAGATTCTTATTGCCCATTTGAAGTCACTCCCTGCTGCTATGCCCAAGCCCAGACAGCTGCTAAATTACTCTCAGATTCTCTATATATAGTCTCATAACTCAAATTAAAACATATGTCCACACAGAGACTTGTACATGAATGTGCATAATAGCTTTATTTATATAAATGGGTTTATATAATATCTGGTCTTTTGCATCTGGCTTCTTTCACTTAGTCTGTTTTTGTGGTTCATCCATGTTGCAGCATATATTAATATTTTGTTCCTTTTAATTGCTGAATAGCATCCCCCTGTGTGAATAAACCACAGTTTGTTTACCCATTTCATCAGTTGATGGACATTTGAGTCATTTCCCATGTGGGGCTATTATGAATAAAACTGTTATGAACATTCATGTACAAGTCTCTGCGTAGGCATAAGTTTTCATTTCTGTTGAATAGATTCCTAGAATCAGAATTTCTAAATAGCATGTAAATGTTATTTAACTTTAAATGGAAACTGTCAAGCTGTTTTCCAAAGTAGCTGCACCAATTTACATTCCCACCAGCAATATTTGAGAGTTCTAGTTTCTCCACATTCTCTCCCACATTTGTTATTGTCTATTGCTTTGATTACGGCCATTTCTTTGAGTGTGAAGTGGTATTGCATTCTGGTTTTAATTTGCATTTCCCTAATGACTGGTAATGTTGAGCATTTTGTCATGTGCTTATTGGCCATTCATATATCTTCTTTGGTAAAATGTGTATTCAAAATCTTTTGTCCATTTTAAAATTGGGTTGTTTTCTCTTCCAATTATTGAGTTATGGGAATATCTATTTTGAATACAAGTCCTTTATCAGATGTATGATTTGCAAATATTTTCTCCTGGACTGTGGCTTGTCTTTTTTTTTTGAACAGTGTCTTTGAAGCACCTAAGTTTTTAATGTTGATGAAGTACAGTTCATCAGTTTTTTTTT